TGTGTGTGGGGGGGGAGATCTCCCGCTAGAACATGGAAGGGCCATGTTTGCGTGTCGGGTTGTGGGGCAGCGCGTCGTTTCTTGCGGCTGGGCGAACGGGACACAAGCGGGCAGAGGGCCGACACCGATAGTTGAGCCGCGGAGACTGGGCCGAGCAAACTGCCGGCGGGCGAGAGCGTGGCCCGCGGTGTGACGAACTATCTTTTGTAATTGCGCGACTTCCTGCGCGGGGCTGCTGTGGGGAAACGGGAGGGTCTTGATGGGTGACGGGGCGCAAGCGGAATCGGTGGGGCAAGTTGCCTGGATGCCCTCGCTTCTTTTTCGTTTTCGTTGGAGTTGTCGGGCCTGTGCCGAGAAAGTCCCGCGCCGATGATTAAGTGACCGCGCCCTGGCAAGCGCGAGAAATAACGGTCGCCATAGCTTCTTTCTTGTTCTGCGATGCGCCCTAGGAAATTTGGCGCGATCAGCGCACGGGAATTTTTCGTTTTTGAAATTTGAACTAATGTCGAGCCCCAGTAGGCTCTCAGAATTATTTTTCTTTTCTTTCCTTCTTTTTCCCTTCGGGATTTTCTCTTGCAATTAGGATTTAGACTAGGAATTTAGGCACTTTGCAATTTGGCGGCACGACGCTTCTTGCTCGCATGCGCCGTGACCCGACAGGGTCTGGGCTCTGAATCCATCCGCGCCTTAATCCAGTGTATAACTGTAGATTTTGGCGGGCGCGATCTCAACTGTAATCTTCTTGTTCTTGATGGCTTTTTGTATTTCCTTCTTTCCCGCCTCGTCTTCGCATGCACACTCTTCCTCTGTTCTGAGTGGTTCCCACGGTTGCATGCCCGGATCGATGCGCGGAGAGTGGCTTCGTCCCCCGCGTCGCGACTTGGGCATGCAGACGTAGGCACTCCCTCCCTTCTCTTTCTCATCACTTGGTGCTAATCTCGTATCCTTCGCGCAAGCATACATGGTATAAATTTCGCAAACGTGATTAGTTCTCTCTCTAACCTACTTGGGAGTTAGCGCGGTCGAGAGGATCCGCTAACGAGCAGAAAGACGGTGGGTAGAGAGTCGGGCGATCCGACGAGCTGGCGCTGAGTACGCGGGGTTGACGCGTGGCCGCGACGGACTGTGGCACGTGAGCGAACCTGGCTTGCATACTCGGGCCAAGCGGGGTGACGACTCGGGTTGATGTTGGGGGGTGCGGGGCGACGGACTGCCCGCATCGAAAGAGAAAGAGAGAGAGAGAGAGAGATACGAGGATATGGTGGAATGGTGTCTATTCTCCCTACTGTCTGTATAAATTTTGATTTCAACGTTGGTCAATGTTTGTTGCGGCATTTTTTGAATTTCTTGAGTAAATCATCTCGGACTTTTTGTTGTATGTATGTATGCATGAATGACGATGAATGAGCTCATATCCTTTCTTTCGAGTTCTCTTTTTGATCGGTGATTACGGAAACTGTTGGGTGTGTATGCGTGCGAATGTCCAATAGTCCTTTCCACCTATGGGAACGAGATTGATTGCCTAAGGGAACTAGCTGCATGGTTGAACCGGTACGCTGACGGATCACTCCTTGTTTATTTGTGCTGTTTAGGATGTGATCAACTGGCCGGTGCGCACGCGCGTGTAAGACAGCAGTCGTCCGTGGACTTGCCATCTACATGCGCTCCTGCAAAAGCCAGCTACGATCTCGCCCCGTAGAAAGACGTGTGCATGAACTCGGCTGAACGAGACATGGCGATAGAATCCCCTTTTTGGATCACCGATCGCGAAAGCCCGAGGGACCCAGAATACCGAACGTATTGGGAGAGGGAACAAATCCGCCTGCAGCGGATCAGACAACATCGCCACTTACGGAACCCTGGGCACCTTGAGTACCCCTGCCGGACTGAAAACGAGCTACTGTGTAGGGGCGACTTCCATCTGGCAATCAACCGAGACCCGCGGATTCCCGATTATCCCGACAGCCGAAACCAGCAATATCTTCTAACCCCAGGCTTCGTTGCCATCACCACTGACTTCCCTCCCTACTATACCGTCCT